TCTTCTTTTCCATGTGTACTTGTAAGATAAAAAGAAGCAGTATCTATAATTATCAGGACAATATTCCTGTCCAGTTCTCTAATGGGTTAGATCTTCCTGTATAATCCCTGATGGTCCTCTTCTAGCCTGCCTCGATTCTATAAGTGTTCAGGTTTAGTCTTTAGGTGTGGGCTCTGAGCCTGGGATGGGGGAAGAGCTTTGTCACATTTTCCTGTTTCCGCAAAGGTTTGCCAAATGTCAGTCATTTGCATATCACTTTCATACTTTTTCTCATATTTGCATGCTACTGGTACATTATTATTGTCTCAATAATAATTGTCTTTAAATTGATTCATTATTTACTCAAATAAATATGGCCTTATTCTACACAATTCTATCTAATAAAGAGGGAATGTGCAAATTGACTGTCATGCTGTCACAAAGATGGTGGTGCTCACAGCAGAGGCGGTGTTTCCGTAATACAAGATGGCTGCACCCACAGTGGAGGCCGAGTTGCCATAACGAGCTTTAACGAGCAATCAGCAGGGACCTAAGGCTGCGTGGCGCTGGGCCAGGGCAGGAGACCTCAGGCCACACCCCGCCCCGGCGCCAGTCCAGGGAACCTGAGGCCATGCCCCCTGCCCCGGCGCCAGGCTGGGGGACTTCAGGCTGTGCCCCCTGCCTGGCAGGGCTTGACGGGGGACCTCAGGTCTCATCCCCCACCCAGCACCAGGCCAGGGGACCTGAGGCTATGCCCTCTGCCTGGCAGAGCTTGACAAGGGTGGGGCTGGCTGGGTTAGTATCTCACCCAATGGGGGTGGGGCCAGCTGGGTCTGGGTCTTGCGCAATTTTGAGGTGCCTCGGGTGGGTGGGGACTTAACTCTGGGTCCTGCGGCGCGCCCCAGACACTGACAGGAGGAAGATTTTCATATACATTTTACTAATTTTCTTTCATCTCTGATACTTCTATTATAGAGAAAGGGCAAATAGCAATTCTATATATTAAAAGAGAAACATGCAAATTAGCTGTCCCTCCACTATGCTGAAGCCATGCCCACAAGTCACATCCACAACCCACACCCACCAGCCAATCCGAGTGACTATGCAAATTATCCGACAAAGATGGAGGTTAATTTGCATACGCAGGTGTCAAGTGCCCATGAGGTGATGGCAGCCGTGGCCGTGGGCTCCCGAGACTTTCGCCAGCCCTAGGAAGCAAGGCCATAGCCACGCCCATGGGCTCCCAGGACTTTCGTTAACCGTCACTCCACGACAAAGATGGCAACACCTATAGTGGCCGGGGCGGGATGCTGGAATCATTGCCCTGGCAACACGAGCCCAGTGTCTGGC